GACAGACAAACTGCCCTGTGTTATTACTTGGGACAAAGATGAAGGGAAGAGGAAGACAATGTGGTAGGGGCTACCCAGGAGCAACACACCCAGAAAATGCACCAAGGTGACCCTTGCAGAAGTGGATGATGGGAGGGCCATATAACATCCAGTTACTGGGTTGCCAGTGCCCCCCGGAGAGGAGCAGGGGAAGATCAAATTATTCCCCAGGACCAAGGGTGGGAAAGTGGCCTTTACATAGCAGTTGGACAAGTACAGTCAGCATCACCCCCTAGGATAAGGGACTCAGCTCTGCCTCAACAGAAAGGCAGAGGACTTCCTGCAGGTGCAGGCTCACCCTCCCCTGCTGGCCGGTCCAGAGCTTGCTCTCTCTCTCTCTCTCTCTCCCTCTTCCCTGGGTTAGGCCAGATTCCTTAACATTGGTATGGCCATTGGAAACCTTTTAGAAAATGACTGGGCCTTTCCAGCAATTAGCCTAAAAGCCTAGACATCACTTTCAAGCTCCTGGCTCTGGAAGAGGAACCAAGATTTCCAGGGACAGGGATTTTGTCATGAAGTTGTGCTGGGGACATCCCCCAGAGCCCTTTATCAAGGAGAAAAAATTCAGAGCAGAGCCCAGCGCTCAAAGAGACCAGGATAAGCTGGGCACGGTGGCTCATATAGGAGGACTGCTCAAGCTCAGAAGTTCAAGACCAGCCTGAGCAACATAGTAAGACCTCATCTCAAATTTAAAAAGACAGGCCGGTCGTGGTGGCTCACACCTGTGATCCCAGCACTTTGGGAGGCCGAAGTGGGCAGACTGCCTGAGGTCAGGGGTTTGAGACCAGCCTGGCCAACATAGTGAAACCCCGTCTACTAAAAATACAAAAATTAGCTGGGCACAGTGGCGCACACCTGTAGCCCCAGTTACTTGGGATGCTGAGGCAGAAAAATCACTTGAACCCAGGAGGCAGAGGTTGCAGTGAGCTGAGATCGGGCCATTGCACTCTAGCCTGGGCAACAGAGCGAGACTCCAGCTCAAAAAAAAAAAAAAAAGGGAAAAGAAAAAGAAAAGTCATCAAGACAGAGGTTCCTTGGACTTTCCCTATTTCTATGCTGAGATTGGAGGGAAAGGACAGCTTCCCCACCTGCCTGTATGGCTCACATTAAATTCTAAGCCCAGGGACTCAGGGCAGACGCTGACACAAAGCTCCAAGACGAAAGCTGAACCATTGCTTTCCCTTTGGTTTATGGTTTCTTCATGCAGAACCACAATCAGAGGCTTAACCCGGGCACAGAGCCTTTTTTAAAAGGCCACACAGCCTGGGCTTTTCCTGAAGAGAGGCTGTCAGGAATGCACTCAGCATCTTAGTGACAGACGCTGTGAAGGCTGAGTAATCCTGAGAGGTGGGGGGGGCGGTGAAAGGGGCAGCTGGCTGGGGGCATGGAAAGGCCTGGCTTGTGCCCGCTGCAGGGAGCCCAACAGGCAGAAACGCCTCAGTCCTAAACAGGGAGGGAGCTTGGACTCTGCAGGAGATGAGGGTCTTCTCAAAAACACAATGTGGCCGGCAGCCCCTGGGCCTCTGAGCCCACAAATGCCTTGAACTTGGGGGCAGGAGCTTGAAGCAGAGTACCTCAGACCCACAACAGCAAGGTCAACACCTCAGGCATCCGTCATTCCCCACTCCCCTGATGGGGTCCTGCTTCCCTCCAATCCTTTTCCAGGCTGGCTGTCCTCCTTACCTTTCTAAATACTACTCCAGAGAATTCATCAGAATGCATCAGCCTCTCCCAGCATGGCCGCCTCCCTGCAAGGCCCACAATGGCCGCAACTCAGTGCATTCATCAGCCTCTGTGACCCTCTGCGTACCAGGCACTCAGTAACTTTGGCTGAGTAAATGACTCCAGGGTCCTCCAGGGCCTGTCACGACTACAGAGCCAGGACCTGGGGAAGCCCCCACTAGTTTGCAACAGCCCGGAAGAGTTAGATAGAGAAGCCTCCTTTATGTGAGGAAAGGAAGCTGAACACTGAGGGAGCTGGGGCCCTGAGGCAAGCCACTGAGTCTTTCTAGGCTACCGCCATGTTTACTGAGCATCACGGATGTGCCAGGCCTGCGTTAGACACTTGACATCATTAGCCTCATTTAATCCTTACTATTAACACTTTGGTAGGCACTAGTTCTCCACTTTACAGAAGGGAAACTAAAGCACAGAGAGGTTAAGTAACCTGGCTCACGGTCATGCAGGTAGTATGATAGCAGAGCCAGGATTCGAACCCAGATCTGTCTGAACCCAGAGCCCAGGCTCTTAACCATTACCCTATATAGGGTCTCATACACATTTACTCATGCAACAAATGGGAGGTGTAGGGGCATTCTCAAGGTCTCTTCTGGATAACTTTTTTTTTTTTTTCTTTCGGAGACAAGAGTTTCATTCTGTTGCCCAGGCTGAAGTACAGTGGTATAATGATGGCTCACTGCAGCCTCGATATCCCAGACTCAAGCAATCCTCCTACCTCAGCCTCTCAAGTAGCTAGGACTACAGTCTTCTTGGGAACTTTTGCTCTCTGCCTCTCTAGGATGAGCTGGTAAAGGACCAGTCTGGGGTCTAGCCCCTGCCCCTTGCCCCAGGTTTTCTTGGGCAGGCTGTCAAAGTTGGAAGGGGTAAAACAGCGCAAGGTTCTGGGATTCCACTCCAGGGAATCCACCCCCACCCCTGCCTGGACCTGCTGTGACCAGCAGATACCTCTGGGAGATCAAGATAACAATGGGGGGAGAGGAAGAAGGAGGGGCTGGAGCCAGGAGCTTTGGTCCAAGACCTGCATTGTTCCTTGGGTTTAAGGGTGAGGGAACCACAGAGTTCAGAGAGGGATCTGAAACTTGTGTCAAAGAGCCTTTCACATGGCTCCTTTCAGCCAGCACTCAGCATTGTGTCCTTGACAGCCAGGTGCAGGCCAGCCCCTACCCATCTGTGTGTGATGGGGAGGGGCACAGCCTGCCCTTCCAGGAGAGGAACACTAGGCACAAGATGATTTACAGGCCCACAGGGATTTCCTTCTTTAAAAAAAAAGAAAACAGAGGCCAGGCATGGTGGCTCATGCTTGTAATCCCAGCACTTTGGGAGGCCGAGGCAGGCAGATCACCTGAGGTTGGGAGTTCGAGACCAGCCTGACCAACATGGAGAAACCCTGTCTTAGCCTGGAGTGGTGGCTCACGCCTGTAATCCCAGCACGTTGGGAGGCCAAGGCAGGCAGATCACCTGGGATTGGGAGTTCAAGACCACCCTGACCAACATGGAGACACCCGGTCTCTACTAAAAATACAAAATTAGCTGGGCGTGGTGGCGCATGCCTGTAATCCCAGCTACTCGGGAGGCTGAGGCAGGAGAATCGCTTGAACCCGGGAGGTGGAGGGTGCAGTGAGCCGGAGATCACACCACTGCACTCCAGCCTGAGCAACAAGAGCAAAACTCCGTCTCAAAAAAAAAAAAAAAAAAAAAAAGGAAAAAAAAGAAAGAAACCCCGTTTCTACTAAAAATACAAAATTAGCCAGGCGTAGTGGTGCATGCCTGTAATCCTAGCTACTAGGGAGGCTGAGGCAGGAGAATTGCTTGAACCCAGGAGGTGGAGGTTGCGGTGAGCCAAGATCACGCCATTGCACTCCAGCCTGGGCAACATGAGCGAAACTCCATCTACCAAAAAAAAAAAAAAAAAAAAAAGGATGGGGCCTTGAACTCCTGGGCTTAAGCGATCCTCCTGCCTCATCCTCCCGAAGTGCTAGGATTACAGATGTGAGCCATTATGCCTGGTTAGCACAAGAAATTCATTGCACATGGTTTCCCCAACCAGGAAGGGCAGGACTCCAGCGGATGCCATGTAGCCCCAGGACAAGCTGCTTTCCCTCCTTCATTCCTTGCTACCCTCTGTGGACATCCAGCCCTCCTCTCCTGCCCAGATGCAGACGTGCTTCTGTCTTCCCTGCCCCAAACATTTGGTTTGGGGCTAGATGTCTGAGAGGACCAGCACAGACCCAACGAGGGAAGCAGCTCTGGCTTAAGAAGAAAGTGAGCTGGTGGCTGAAGACAGGGAAGCCAGGCCAGCCCTCCAGCTCACTGCTGCGAGGCTTCCTACTGAAGCGGGGTGTGAGGAGAAGAGGGGATGTGAGGAGTATGCCCCCACTGGGGATCATCAGGGCTGAGGTCCGGGCTCTGCCAGTTACTGACTCAGCCACACAGCCTTCTGGAGCCTTAGTTTCCTCATCCATAAACTGGGATAACAGCAAGCCCTCACTCAGGACTGAAAGGATAAACGAAGTTAGAGTAAGGCACTGTGCGAACTCTAGAGCTAAATGCTGTGCTTGTTTTAATTAATTATCCAAGGGGAGAAGACCACTAATTGGCAATATCATGGGCCTCATTCCAGGAGGCCAGCAACAGCTCAGGAGCCCTCCCACCATCATCACGTGGATGAAGCCCAAGAAGACGAGGGAAAGGTGCCTGAGAGCTCTACTATGAGCAGGTTTCAGAAAGTCAAAACAGCCCCTATACCTTCTTCCCAATCCACAACAAAATTTGTTTTCCAGCTCATAAACTCCCTGACTAGGTATTCTGTGAAAAACAAAAGCAAGTAAGACTGTTTCACTTGAGACAAAAATCACCATCTCCCCTGGTATTCACCCCCACCACCCTCAAGAAGTACCAGGTGAGGACACTATTTGCCTCTGCCTCTTAAGAAGCATATGCATGGGCCGGGGGAGGTGGCTCAAGCCTGTAATCTCAGCACTTCGGGAGGCCGAGCCTGGTGGATCACTAGAGCCCAGGAGTTCAAGACCAGTCTGAGCAACATGGCAAAATCCTGTTCTACAAAAAAAAAATTAGCCAGGTGCACCTGTAGTCCCAGTTTGGCAGGCTGAAGTGGGAGAATCACCTGATCACCTGAGCCCAGGAGTTCGAGGCTGTAGTGAGCTGTGACTGCACCACTGCACACCAGCCTGGGTGACAGAGTGAGACCTTGTCTCAAAAAAAAAAAAAAAAAAAAGCGTGTGCATGTACTAACACGTGAACACATGCACACATACACACAAATGAAGACCAGAGTGACCAGGGCAACAGTATTTTTAATCTTCTCCTGAAGGTCAGGTCCAGATGCCACTTTTGTCAACAACACAGCTTTGTGTCCCAGCAAAGGAACTTCTCACACATCTGCCTGGCATTTGGCAGAAGGTAACCTCTGAGGCAATCAGATTTTAACAAGCCCATTCACGTAGAAAGTTGCTTTCTTTTTTGGTTCATCCCCAGAAGTACTTCCTTCCCCACCACCTCCCATCCCCCACAGCAAAGGACTTAGCCTTAGCCTGGCTATCACTATAAAATGGCCCCTCTGAGGGGCCTCCTTCCTCTCAGCTATTGGAGGAAGGAGAGTATTTGGAGCATTTCCGGCCCTTCTTGGCCGGCTGCCTGAACCCTGCAGCCAAGACACATTTGACTGGGACTCCCCCATGGAGAGAAGTCCTCCCAGGTCCTCTGCAAGGGGCATCTGTGCTTTGGCTATGGACATACCCTAAAGTGCCAGGTGGATGGAAGAGCTCCTGGGACCAGCAGGTGAGTCGGCAGGGAACAAAAGAGGGTAGGATGCCTAGGTAGCCCCCAAAAGACTGCAAACAATGGGGAGGGTGTACTGCTTTCACACCCGGCCACTGACACTGTTCTCTACTGCTAACAAGTAAGGCAGGGCTGGACCCAGCTTAGCACTGGCTCCCAAAGTTCCAAAAAGTAACTGTGAACTAACTGCATGGACATTTTTTGAAAAAAGCAGTTTTACACTTTGGGAGGCAAAGGCGGTGGGGATCACTTGAGATCAGGAGTTCGAGACCAGCATGGCCAATATGGTGAAACCCCATCTCTACTAAAAATGCAAAAACTAGCCGGGTGTGGTAGCGAGCTGCTGTAATCCCGGCTACTCTAGAGGCTGAGGCACGAGAATCACTTGAATCCAAGAGGTGGAGGTTGCAGTGAGCCAAGATCATACCACTGCACTCCAGCCTGGGAGACACAGTGAAACTCTGTCTCAAAAAATAAAATAAAATTAAATTAAATTTAAAAAAGCAGTTTTAGCCATGCTGTTTGGTTCATACCAGCATGTTGTATGCTGGTGCAGGGAGGGCACCAGCAACTGGGGCAGTCCTACCTAAGCCAGTGTCTCCATTAGTTCCCTTTCCCTGGGCAGGAGAGCTCCCTACATGGCTGTCTCTTCTTTCAGACCTGAGTCCTTAATGCCACCTGTGGGGCAAGGGTCACAGGTCACACACTTTCTTGTCTCTCCCCCTTCAGCAGTCTGTTCTCTGACCTCAGCTAGAGAGGTCAGAGGACTCGGTTTTGGGAGCAGGGGACTTCTGGCAACTTCTAAAGGATGCTGATTTCAGAATCAGCCTCTAAAGGAGTTATTCCCAAAACACCCTCCTGGGCAGCTCTAACATACTTTAAAAACGTGCTGGGTTGGGGTGGGCCTCCAGAAGTAGTAGGTCCTGGACCAGAGACAGAGGAGGCATTTCCTCATAGACAAGTCAGCTGCAGGCTCAGCCCTACAAGCCCCACTCCAGAGGGCTCTTGGGGGATGTCAGGAAGTGATATAATAGCCCACAGGGGAGCAGGGACAAGCCTGAGATGCCATCCAAGAAAACTCAAAGGGCTGGATCCTGCGCCTGCCTCAGCAGGAGACCCTGCCCTATGTAGCACCAGCCAGAGCAAAGATTGTAAGGGACTGGAAACCACACTTGCCCACCTGGAGTTCAACCCCTCCGTCCCCTTAAGGAGGTGTAGAACAAGCCCCTGTGGGAGGGGCTACACACAGACACCCTCTCAGTGAGTGTTTCAAGTTCCTGCCTTGGTGCTGTGCCCTTGACTCCTGGAATGCTTGGATACAGTTGAAGCCTAGGAAGAATCCAGTGCTTCTTTCCCTTCCAGGTATGTAGGCCTGCTTTAGGTTGATACAAACGTGAGCTGGAGAAAGTAGTGAGGACACAGGACAAAGCAAGGGTATCTGTTCTGACCAGGGAACAATACATAAGGCACCTAGACTTGAGTTCGAATCTAGGCTCTGCCATGTGTAAGGTATGCAGCCATGGGCCTCAGTTTCTTCATCTGCAAAACGGGAAGACTACCTATTTCTCAGTGTCAGAATTACGGGGAGCTCAGGGAGAGTCCTGGTCCTAACAAAAGCTTGGTAAGTGTCAACTGCTACTCATTAAGCGTAGAGCACTTTCATACTCCTACCTCAGTCCCCGTTTCAAAATGTTCACATTAAAGGGACCATAGAGATTTCTTCTAACTCATTTCAGAGGTTACCTCATTTCAGAGGTAGTAACGGCCAAACCGGAAATGATGTTTTCCGGGACTCCACAAAAACCAATCACTTGCACACACACATACACACTCATTGAGGCTGGCCAACCAGTTCCTCCTTCATGTGGCTGGCCTCTGCAGGACTGGAAGGAGTCTGCCAGGGAGGCACCCATCTCCAGGGACATTCGCCTTCTCCCCCTACACCCCTCAGCTTCACCTAGGACCAGCCAAGTTGTATAGATGAGTCCACTTGAGAAAGCACTGATCTAGACATCAGGAAACCCAGCTCTTGCTCCAGTTCAGCTTCTCAACAGTTCCGTGGCCTTGCTAGGGCACAATTCTCTGGGGTTTAGTTTCCTCATAAGTCAATCTGGAAAGGTTTCCCCTGCATGGTCCCTTAAAAGGTGGCTTTACCTGAAGCATGCACCTGAAGCATGAACTCAAAGGCACTCAAAAAAGTGAAATGCCAGACAATGCAAATGTCTGGCTGACACTAGCCATGTACCCTTGGGCAAAGTCCTTCCCCTCTCTCTGTGGAAGTTTTCCTTATCTGCAGGGTGGGCGCGGTGGCTCACGCCTGTAATCCCGGCACTTTGGGAGGCCGAGGCCGGCGGATCACAAGGTCAGGAGATCGAGACCATCCTGGCTAACACAGTGAAACCCCATCGCTACTAAAAATAAAAAACAAATTAGCCAAACGTGGTGGTGGGCGCCTGTAGTGTAGTGCCAGCTACTCCGGAGGTTGAGGCAGGAGAATGGCATGAACCCGGGAGGTGGAGCTTGCAGTGAGCCGAGATTGTGCCACTGTACCCCAACCTGGGCGACAGAGCGAGACTCCTTGTCAAAAAAAAGAGAAAGTTTTCTTTATCTGTTAAGTGAGGTTAATTCCTTTTATCGGAAAGGAAAAGTTGTCAGGAGAACTAAGTGAGATACTAGATACAAAATGCTAGGAATAGTACCTCGCCTATGGCAAGTACTCTATAAATACTGGCTATAACCTTTACTGGGTAAACAAGGATGGATCATTACTCTGTCCATTTACTCTGAAAACTTTAGGACTCCTCTTGAAGAGCCACAGATCTTTAACAAACAGTAAAACTGGACCACCAAGAGGAATTTTCCTGCTCGGGGCAAAACAGGCAGTTGGGGCCACTGCTGTGCCTACCTGGCTCTTCTCCAGGGGCACCTGTCAGAGCCACAAGGAGCATTTGGAACACAGGCATGCCTGACCCACCTGCCCATGAGCTGATTCAGTAGATCCCAGGTGGGGGGTCTGTATTTTTAGCAAGTGTCACAGGAGACTCTGATGTGTGTCCCTGGCTGAGAACCAACAACTAAAGGTGCCAGGGTCTCTGACTAACCCAGGGCTAGAAGGCAATTCAGCCAAAGTCCCCTTGGCCCCTCTCCCCACCATACCTGACTGGCTCAGTGTTTCTGCAAGCCTTGGAGGACTCATGCCCAGGATCCAGTTTTCTTCTCTAGGGATAGTTCTATGTGATGTGAGACAGAAAACCTGGGTCTGCTGTCTCTACCTGCAGGCCCCTGTTCCTGTGAAAGAGGGGTCCTAGCTCTATTCTGCTGTGGGAACAGAACAGCTGGGATCTACTATCCAGGAAGCCTTCCACAGGCAATTTGAGCCTTTCCATGAGTCTGCTTGGCTCTCACTGGGACTGGGGCCATATTTCTTCCCTGGGAAAAGTGCAGGTGGGAAAGTGCAAATTCAACAGGATGGAGAAAGCTATGGCAAGAAATAAAAGAAAGTATAGAATAAAAAGAGAGTAAGAGCAAAGTCTGATTTGGGGGGATGGGGGTTGGGGAAGGACTAGAGCACCTAGGAGGGAAATGGAAAGGTCAGATCCACTCAGAGATCAGGTTCAAGGCTAACTCCTAGAATAGCTAACATAAAACAGGGCATACACACTTTTGCCTAGAGGGAGGCTGTGGCGCTCACTGGAGTACCTTGTGATAACAGATCCTGGTGCAGGCATACTCAGACCTGAAGGGCTGGGCATTTTGCCAAACAAAGAAACTCCATTCTATTTGGTCTGTGGTCCAGAGATGCTTCCAGTTTTAAGAAGTCAACTTATCCACTTTAATTTCTAGTAGTTTCTTCGTAAGATTTGCATGTTAATGTGCTCATCTGCATCCCAGTTCAGAACTACTCCTCCATTTCAGAAGAGAGAGGGAAATATGTCAGGGCCACACCCAATCCCACGTCCCCAAGACAAGCGAGTTAATTCCATGCTTCCCAGAGCTGGCTAGACTAAGACAAGATGAAAAGCAGATCAGTGCTGCTTTTGTACTTTCTCAATGTTGGACCCCAAAACCACAGCAAAAAACAAATAGCTTAAGAACATCTATTTCTCTTCAAACCCCATTTTCTTTTTCCCCTCTTACTAAAATTACCTAAAAGAAACCTCAATTTCTCTGAATTCATTAACTCTCAAAGCAAACAGTGAGAGAATGTAGCATACAGTTGTCTTGAATATTCGTTATATCCATATTTGAGAACCTCTAAGGAGGTTTAGACTTTAGAGATTTAGACTTTAGAGCCTCAGAGGGGGCACATGCCTGGCCTTCTCCCACCCCCAGATGCCCAGGCATCAGACACAATGGCAAAAGTCCCAAAGCCCAGGCAGATAAAATCACATCCCAAGTCACATGACACAAAGAAGGGGTCTGTGCAGCAAGGCTCTTTGTAAGCCTCAGAGGTTGATCCTTCCAGAAGGCCCAAGCCCCCACAGTCAGTGTCCCCTCTGACCCCTGGCCACCTGTCTTGAAAACTAAAACCCACAAGACTACGTGCTGTTTACATGGTGTCCCTGGGGGAATGGAGGAAGGCGAACAGAGTCGTCTCACTATGTAAAAAAGGAGGACGTTAATATTTATCAAGCACCTACTAGGTATAATAGAAGAGTAGATATCATTATTACTATTTTATAGATAAGTTACTAAAGTGATTTATCAAGTGATTTATCAAGTCTCACTGTGAATAGGAAAAGAAGGGATTTGAACCCAGGTCTGAAGCAATTTTGCTTCAGAAACAATGCTTTGAAGTAACAATGAAAACTTTAACCCTGACCCTGGTCCTACTTCATCCAATCTAAGAACCAAACTGACCATGATGGGAATAAAAGACAATACCCCAAATTACCCAAAAACTACCAGGAAAAAAAAAATGGAGGAGGAAGAGGAAGGGAAGCTATGTATTGATATGTACACACATATACACATAATCCCATATATATTTACATATTGCTTTTGTTTCCCATACTTATTTATAAACACTTTAATTCTCCACAGGTTGGGAGCATCAATTCACGTTGGCTAGAAATGTGACTTCTTTAGTATTTACCATTTTAACAAAATCCATGATAAGTGATTTGGAAGGTCCCACGGAGAGGATGAAATGACACCTTTCTGTTACCCAGTTTCTTTAAGACCTCCATGGTTGAGAAGAGAGGACAAAGGAACACCCCCACCTCTGCCATCCTCCGAGGGATTTTTCACAGCAATTCCAGTGCTGCTCAGTGGAAAGCTCCGCAAGTCAACTGCAAACCCCCGGCCCCAGACGTTAGACATTTACAAACTTTGTTGCTGATTTATCAGCACTCTTCTGCGATTTTGGGGGCAGGAGCAAACACAAGCTTAAGTCACCACACAGGCTCCAACCCTTACCCCAAGATGGGGGAAAAACTCCAAAGGAGATGCAGGAGGGAGCCTCAGCAGTCACTGTGAGAGCACAAAGAGGCCAAGACCCAGGGTAGGCAAAGGAAGGTGAGAGGCACCAGCAGGGCAGGAGGAGGAGTCAGCTGTAAACATGGAGGCTTCCCGCCCCCCACATAGCAAGCTATGGAAGGAAGCTTCCAGCAAGATTCATGTCTAAGCTTTTCAAGTTAAAGTCTTGGCTACATCTACAATGAAGGGTGCCTGAACAACTTCTTGAGGGAATAAGGCAGAATTTCCCCTTTATGCGGATAACAAAAGAGCTAGCCACCCTGAGAACTTGCCACATCCCAATTTTCAGAGATGGTCAGTCTCTCAGAAGAATCCTGGCGATCAGCTATCAGAACCTGTCCAGTTCCGCATGTGAGAAGGTAATCCAAGGCATCATCGAGAGGAAGGGGCATCAGGATTCATGGACAACAAAAAAATCTCTGATTCCTCCAAAAGGCGTGTGGGTCAGAGAGCTCCCAAAGAGGCTGCCTCCACCAGTTCTCATTTCACGTTGGGAGGTTACAGGGTGGGTCTTGTTTTCTTGGCTTTTCCCCATCTAATCCAAAAGCCAAGGTCACAACCTCTTAGCAATGGGGTGACAATCTCATATAGAGCTGCAGTAAACAGCCATTCTTGCCAAGCTGATATTAACATTTCTTTTTTCTTTTTGATGTTACACACAATCCTGTCCTTGCTGTACCAGAAAGCCATTTCACCCATCTGTCTGGGAAGATGATCCAATTTTGGTGCTTTTATCATCAATGCTTTCAGCAACTTTGTTCTACTTCCCCTACTGTAATTACTTTTGAATCATCAACACACCCAGACAGCCTTAAACCTCAGAGAACAGAATGCTAAAAAAGAAAAAAAAAATCTGCAATGGCAAGTAACTTCACTAAATAGCCACCCAAGCTAGGAGCAATTTGTTTCTTTCCAGAAATTTACTTAATAATAATAAGTACCTCACACTCCTTCCCCTTTTTCCAAAGGCAGGCAAGGCATGGAGATGGGATGTTATGGACAGGAGGGAGTGGGGAGAAGGAGGAACTCCAAAAGGAGCTAATTAAAACGTCTGCTTCCCCAGTCCCCCAGCTTTTGTTTTTTGTTTTGTTTTGAAGATGTAGGTTTTGTTTGTAAATGATGTGGGACTGAGAAAGTTGGCTGAGTGGCTGATGGGTGCCTAAGCAGCCCAGGAAGAAAGTATGCCTTCTCTGGAATGCAATCAAATTACATGGGGAGGGGCTGGGGAGGGGCCGGGCGCGGTGGCTCAGGCCTGTAATCCCAGCACTTTGGGAGCCTGAAGCGGGCTGATCACCTCAGGAGTGAAGACCAGCCTGGGCAATTGGCGAAACCCGTCTGTACTAAAAATACAAAAAAATTAGCCAGGCGTGATGGCGCGCGCCTGTAATCCCAGCTACTCGGGAGGCTGAGGCAGGAGAATTGCTTGAATCTGGGAGGCGGAGGCTGCAGTGAGCTGAGATCACGCCACTGCACTCTAGCTTGGGCAACAGAGTGAGGCTCCGTCTCAATTAAAAAATAAAAATAAAAAATTACATGGGGAGGGACAGACTCAGTGGCTGCTGGCTTAAACCACACACACAAAAAAAGGGAAACATTAACTCCAAGAAAATCCAACACCAGCAACTTAACACTGCCAAGCCAGTTGCTTTGCTTTCTGCTGTTATCTATTCTGTGGCCTGCCTGCCATTCACCCTGGTGGATGAAACTTCCAGCTCTGATTTCTACGATGCCCCGGCGCAGTCCACCTATCCCTTACTCCTTGCGTGGTCTCACGATGCCCAAGGCACACTCCAGAGCACAGGGCTCCTCCCCCTATTCATCACCACTGCCCCCTCTTGAATCCCCCCACATCTGGATTTCTTCCCCTCTGGCTAGCTCTTAGGGCCTTTTCCTGGGATGAGTTTGGGAAGGGAGTGGGAAGAGTCAGGAGTGAGCTATGAACACACGCAGCCTCCCTCCCTTTTTCAGCCGTCAGCACAGTTGAGCAGCCAGCAGAGGCGGTGAAGTTGCCGCCTGGGTCACAGTCTGGTTAGTGATGCAGCCAGGAGAGCAGAAATCATGGCAACACCGAGGTCAGGGAGGCCGGAGCCTTCTGGGGGGTTGGGATCTGAGTAGGCCAGGCTCATCCCTCCTCAGGGCAGGCTTATTTAAAGTCCGGCCAGTGATGCAAGAGGAACACACTGCCCCCTCCCCCACCCCTAACCCCCTCCCAGCTCCTCTCGTTCCACTGGGAAATGTGGGAGAGGCTGACACCACCAACTCAGCGTCTTTGCTCCTAGGGAAGTTGGGGGAGCTCCTTGGAACGTGAACCCCAGGAATTAGTGACCTGCTGACTAATGTTGCCAAACGGGTAGACGTGGGGCACACAAGGCCCCGAAGCTGGCCGCCCACCAGGCTCTAGGCCTCAGTGTGTTCAACTGCAGCACCGGCCCCTCGCGCTCTGTGGAGGAGGGGCGGGAGCGCTCCGGATTCCGCCCCAGGAGCCAGCTCCCGCCCCAGCCTCCGGGGCCAGGTGGCCCGGGTCCGGCGGCTCTCCAGAGAAACGCCACACTCGTCCTTACACCCCGCGGAAATTCTGCCGCTATTTTGGACACATTCCTCAAGGCCAGAAGAACGTGGCGGAGGGGGAAAGAGTTTCGAGTCCCCCACTGTGACCAAACTAAGAGGTTCCACCCTCGCTCCCCAGCTTTCTCCCGCCCCGGGAGAGGCCTCGGCCGCCGCCTCACCCCGGCGAGGGCCTGCGGGCCCCCTCGCGCCTCCACCTGACACTCTGGAAGGCGGGGGCCGCCAGCCCCTGCCCACAGAGAACTCGCACTTTTTCGCTGCGCGATTCAGAACCACGCCGGGTCTGATGCCATCCGGCGAATTATGTAACCAGGGACACCGCTCCCGAGCTAAACAAACGCTGCTCTGTGTGTGCAGCGGCGGCCCCGGGGGAGCGCACCGGGCAGGGAGGGGCTCTGGCCGGGCCTCGGAGTCGGGCTTGTTTGCTCAGCGAAACTAGCCAGAGGCAGCCGGGAGGGAGCCCGGCGCCGCCAATGTCCCGGGGCCCGCGCTCAGCCGGGGACCCGCCACGTCTGGTCTGCTAGGGCCCGGGCCCCTCCCCCACCGCGACCGCCCCCGCCTCCAAGAGGTGAACTTGGTCCCAAGTCCCGCCGGACGCCGTCACCGCCAGCTAGGTGCCGGAGCGACCTCGGGCTTGGGGGGCCTGGAAGTACTAGATTCCAGTCCCGGCTGCGTTCCATCTGGGGGTCCCTCCGTCACCTTCCTAACCCCTCCCCGCGATCCCAGGGCAGCCGCGCGCGGCTGTGAGGGAAAGTGACGACCCTATCCCCCAACTCCGAGGGGACGGACGCGGAGTGGCCCAGTGCTTCGAGAGCGATCCCTCCGTCTCTCAATCCCGAGGGGAGGGGTTGCGGGAAAGGGTGACAGCTGTGCCGAAGACGCCCCTTCCCCTAGGGCGCCGGGATCCCGGATCCCGTGCAGCCCCCACGGAGGTCTGAGTGCCAGCCGGGATGCGGGGGCGGATGGACCGAAGGGGTCCAGTCGGGATCACTGGCTCTGAGCCCGGGAGGTCAAGGGCCGAGACCTGGGGTTCGGGGCTATGCTAGCCCCCTCCTCGCCCGGGGGCGACGCAAAGTTTTGGGAAGTTGCTGCCCCTACCTTGCTTGGTGAGCACCAGGGCGTCTTCCCTCCGCGCCTGGGTGATGATGGAGCCGTGTTCCATCTAACAATCCCGCGGGCCCGGGCTGGCTGGGCGGGAGGACGGGCGGGCGCGCGGGCTGGGCTGGGCTGGGGGGCCTGGGCGGGGGCCCGCTCCAGCTCCCGAGATTCCGACTTCCACAGCTGTTCACATCCCCCCTCTCGTTTCCTCCCCGGGCCGGGAAGGTAGGCGGCCTGTACAGAGGGCGGGCGGCCCGGGCAACGGCTCCCCCGGGTGCCCCCGGCCCCGATCCCCCGGCGGCAGCTCCGGGCTCCTCAGTTTGGGTCCAACATGGAGAATCCGGAGCGAAAACAAGAGGAGGAAATGGGACACGGGGCGGTTTCCAGGCTCCCCCCTCCCCTCCGTACTCCAGATAAACAACCCGCGGCTGCAGCGCCCACCCCCGCGCCTCCCGGATCTCGACTCGGCCTCTTCACGGCCCACTGGAGCTTCCCGCTCCGGGGCTGTGTCCTAGGCCCCGGGACCCTCCACCTGTGAGCGACCGGGGCTTCGGACAGTCCGGAGCTTTGCTATTTTGTTACGGAAAAAGCGATTCCTCAAGGGGGGTGGGGTGGCGGGCGGGCGGGCTGGCGGGGGAGACTTGAAACCGCTCCGGTGCTCCGATTGGCTCTCTTGGAGAAAAGGGGCGTGGCCCCTCCTTACTATGCGGTGAGAGGACCTAACAACATTCCAGGCGCCACGGCCACGCCCCCGGGCCACTCCTCCATCGCCAGACTGCGGCCTCCCAGTCTCCTCGGCCACACCCCCTTCCCAACTATTTAAAAGGCCACTCCAAAGCTCACGTTTCTGTCCTCAGTGCTGGGGTGTTCTTGTCTCGGTGGCTGCACTCGGGGAAAGTGGAATGGTTCTGCCCTTCAGGGGTGACCAGGACAAGCCGCTGAGCCTAACCGGACTCCGGCAGGGGATGGGGCGGATCGGAAGTTACCTTACCCCTTGCTTAGCCCTCGAATCAAGGACCTACCAAGTCACATAAAAGTACAACCGTCGAGGCCGGGCGCGGTGGCTTACGCCTGTAATCCCAGCATTTTGGAAGGCCGAGGTGGGTGGATCACGAGATCAGGAGTTCAAGACCAGTCTGGTCAAGATGGTGAAACCCCGTCTCTACTAAAAATACTTAAAAAAAAAAAAAAAAAAAGCCGGGCGTGGTGGCGGTCACCTGTAATCCCAGCTACTTGGGAGGCTGAGGCAGAGAATTGCTTGAACCCGGGAGGTGGAGATTGCAGTTAGCCGAGATCGTGCCACTGCACTCCAGCGTAGACTACAGAGCGAGCCTCCGTCTCAAAAAAAAAAAAAAAAAAAAAAGTACAACCTTCTAATCACGAAAGGGGTGTATGCGTGTGGGCGGACCTAGGACTCCAGAGTATAAGAGCTGCAACTGACCTCAGGACTGTGTCACCCCCAACACTGAAAATGAGACCTGAGGTGCTGGGCTTTCCTCACAGCCAACGACTTACTCCAATTTAGGCAGCCCCGACTCCTCCCCTCCACCCTACCTTCCTCATCCTACCCCTCTCTCTGCCCCCACCGTCCCAGCTTCCTTTAGATGAATGGAGGTCTCTCAGGGAGGAGCTTCAGCTTTGTGGACTTAGACTGCCCTCCCCACTTGCTCTTTAGGCCTCAGGGCGTGCTCCACTGGCTATGGCTCCTGGAGTCTCTGCTCAAGGTTGTAGGTGCTTTTGCTCCCCAGAGGCAGTAACTCCAGAAAGGTTGGTTTCAGGTCAAAATCAGGTCTTTTCCAGTGATCTACATCTGTCCACAGGTGACACGGGCTGCCTTGGGACAATGGTAGCTGTTCGAGTCAAGGCCAGCAAGAGTGGTGCAGAGTGAGATTGCACTGGGTGACTTCTGAGCTAAATCCAACCCTGATATTCTGTGATTCAATGGCACTCACCCTGCCAAGGAAGAGGCTTCCTTCCTGCTGCAGTTCCCATTGCCCAACATGCATCAGGTCTTACCCATGATTAGAGGACAACTAGGTCACAGCTAAACTTGCCAGGTACTATCAGACACCTGCTCCCTATGGTCCCTTCCTCATGAGGACAGGTGAGGTCATGATCTGCATATGCCTGTGTGCCATACAGTGATCATGTGTGCCTGTTTCTTTCTGCTGTTCCTACGCACGTATACAAAACCTTTTTATATAACACCATTTTAATGGAAATGCTGTTTTTCCAAAATGAAAGTGGCTGTTACAGATCTGAATGATGCTTATGTAACTTTAAACACTGAATTTGGGTAGATCTTAATTCATTAACAGAAAGGGAAACGGAGGAGTTCTGACATACCCACCTCTCATCATTAAAACAATAGGATCTTTAAGGTAAATCTTCAACAGTCAGGTTGCTAGGGGGGCCTTTTAGACCCTGCCCCTGCTGTCTTTTAAGGTAGAATAGTTACAGTGGGAGCAATGCAAGCAGGAGCTGAGGACTGAGGATTGAGGGGGGCCTGCTACCCATAGCACTGTAGGGCAGGACACTTCATTATGCTTCCATTTCCTCATCCATAGAGACAATACCTCCCCTTTTGTAATTTACAAAGTGCTTTCACGTACTAATCTGTCTCATTTGATCTGTCACTTCTTTGAGGTTGATAGAGCAGATACTGTGCCCATTTTTATAGATGCCTGTTTTGTAAATGAGGAATCAGGGTCTGGGAAGGTTAATTGACTCACCTGAGACCTCACGGCTTGTTAAGGATATAGGATGTCTTTGGACTTTAAGACTAGAACTCAGGCCGGGCGCGGTGGCTCAAGCCTGTAATCCCAGCACTTTGGGAGGCCGAGACTGGCGGATCACGAGGTCAGGAGATCGAGACCATCCTGGCTAACACGGTGAAACCCCGTCTCTACTAAAAAATACAAAA